TCCATGTGTATTGAGGCTTTCGCGATTTATATGTTATTTTTTATTTTGCGATTAGAAAGACTCGAGCTAGACGTAAGTTTCAGCGGGCATTGCGCTCGAAGAAAGAAGAGGCTAAAAGCCGAAGAGACCCGGCAAACTGCCACGAAGAGGGTCACAGCAAATGGCTTCTCATCCTCTGGATCATTTAAATGATTCCGTAGCATGGGAAGTCATTCTCGTTACTACTTTGTCACTATGCTCTTTTAGTATTTGTAGTTGTATTTTTTTTCTCTATTATTATTTATCATTTTTCTGGGCAAATCGCGATTTTTCTTGTTAGTGTTGCCAGAAATTGATCATGGTTTAAATTAGAGTCGCGAAGAAATGATAATCGTGTTTGCTTTAGAGTTGTGACTTACGATAGCGTGGTTGATTTTAGCAATTTTGATTGTGAATTTTTGAAGTTATTAGAGAATTATACATAGAGTAAAATTTATCTTGTTTCTCATTGTTTTAAATTAGATTATAGTGTCAGCTTTTAATTAATTTTAGAATGTTAAAATATTTGAAGTAATTTTTGTTCATACAGCTTTTGTATTGTTACAATAATAATAATTTGCATTCAGTTTAGTTTTAGAGTTAGCGACATTATTTCATCGCGATTTCTAATTACTTTTACTCTTAGTGTTGCGTTAATGAATGATCGCGTTTCTTGAAATAGCGTTGCGTTTACAAAATGTCCACATTCTTCTACTGGATTTGTGGAAGTCTGTTTCTGCTCCTGAATCGCCTGGTAGAGCTACAAGAGCTGTACAGCGGTGATCATTCAGTATGGTTGCACTAGACGCGTCGCAATTAGTGTTGCGTGTTTTTAAAGACGAGTGCATAGATTAATAAAGTTGCGTATTTATTTTCGGGAATTTTAAATAGGACGAAGCACTCTTCGCGTTTGTTTTTGAAAATTTCTTATTTTATAATTAGTAGTATTAGTGAGTTAGTGTTGCGAAACAAGATACGGTTTATTGTTCGGATTCATGTTGGATGTACATTTGACAATAGCCCTTCCGGTTATTGTATTGAATAGGAATACAATAGTTCTTTCAGTAGCTCTTTTGGCTACTGTATTGCGATTTCTTTTTCAGTGTCCCTTCTGGCTGTTGTTTTAGAGTTTCTTTGTCGGTAGCCCTTCTGGTTACTATTTTAGATTTTCTTTGTCAGTGACTCTTTTGGTTACTGTGTTAGGTTTTCTTTTTCAGCACCCCTTACCACTGCGTTTGTTATTGAAAATACTGCTAAAACATATATAGTTTTTTATTAGCCACAACTTACCAATCTAAATCCAATTAGAAATTCTTTCTTTCTGTTTTTATAATTTCGAGTCAGAAAATGATTTAATTCAATTAATATTATATAGTTATAAAGTAATATTTTAACAGTAACCTGCATTTTTTTATGTGTATAATATATATTCATTGCAGATCTTTTCATTTAAATTTTAATATTAATCCAATACATGAGTTTGTTTCAGATACATTAATTTATAGATAGTAGTACATAGTTACAGAAAATATATAGAGATATGTACATACACTGAAGATTTGAAAAGATTGAATATGAAAAGGAGTGACTAAGAGGAAAAAGATTATTACAATAAAATGATGTTTTTATCCAATTGTAAGTAATAAATATATTTTACAGATTTTACAAATCTTTGTTTAGATTTGTTTCAGGTACAGATTATAGAAGATTTCGTATAATACAACAGGTTGAGAGATCATCGGAAGAAGACTTCATATAATATTCACTTCATTCCTTGTTAATAATATTTGTGTATTTAGAATGAATAAAAATTGTTTTCTGTGGAGGTGTTAGTTTAAATTAGATTTAATTAGGCTACAAATAGTTTTAAATTGGATATTGTGTTGTTGTGTTGTGTTCTGTTGTGATAGTTTTAATAGTTCATAGTGTTTGTGATAATTTGCTTATTAGATTTAAGCTTAAGCATGGTAATTCTAAGTTGTAAGGTGCGTTAGTATCTAAGTGCATGCATGGTTAAGAATAGTTAATATTAATTTAAGTGGGATAAATAAAATTCTAATGAGACACATATTTGTTTAACTTTTCTAATTGCTGTTATATAGTCGAAACTGTGTCTCATAGATGTAGTTAGTTTAAACTTTAGTATAATTTCTATTTTTATAAAAATTTAGCTTTCCGCGTCGGTTTTTCTTATTACTTCTTTTATTATCCGGTTTGCACAACGATCAAGGTATTGAACGTTTTGCAAACGTACAATAGAAGAACTATTTGTTCATAAATTTATGTTTTAAGTTAGTAAATTTTTGTTCGCAAAAGGAGGGCGGATGGGCCGTGGATAGGGTAGGTCTCCACTCGCAGCACCTCCACGTGGTGAGACCTGGGCAATCGATATTATTTGATATCTAATTACTAATTGCATTACTATATAGTTAAAGAATAGTAAATTATTATATTTATGAATTGTTATATTATATAATTGATACAATTATTAATTATATGGCAAGTAATACGAGCTAATTGGCTGCGATTGTGTAGATGTACATGTCCATTAGATTAGTGAAAAATAAATTATATGTAGTTTTGATATATGGATAACTAATTTGTTAGTATATCGAAATATTTCATTCGAATTTGTACATTTTTCGCATAAGAATATCGTAGAAAGTCTAGAATTAAATACTTTTTCTACAATAATTATATCTGAGGGGTTGTTATTTCTTCTTTTCTTTAATTCCTCTCATATTACATCAAACTTTTGATAAAATTTACTTGAGCTGATAGATTTTTTAATTTTTAAAAAGTCGAAATGATCAGCCAATCCTTTATCTCCAGCATATGTATCACAGAGATATTAAAAAAAAATCATCAAAATCGGTATAATCGATCTACAAGTTCACCTGATTATCTTTGTTGTCGTGCCAAATTGACAAATGAAAGCGAGTTAATGGGACACTGGCAGGTTTAGGATTGCCTGATGAAAATATAGTTGTCAAACTCGAAAACTCTGGCATGGTTGTCACATTTCCATTAATGTTCTGTCCGTCGGAATAAGACTCGATGAAATAGTTAAACTGGCGAAATAGGTGGCTCACACGATTGTTCTGTTACAAAATACGTCGCAAACATACGCGTTTAGAACGATCAAGCGTTATGACGCGCGATCGTACGTTACTTTCTAGTCGAGTAATTTAATCGCGTCGCACCGGTTACATTCTAATTAACGAAGCGCGGCATAGAGAAATAGATGGGAAGAGGAAGAAAAAACGTGGCTAATGGCGGAGGCCAATAACGAGCAACGTTCTGGAAAACAGTAACGGCTAATAACGGGCAATAGATTCGGGGTGGCCCGCGTTAGCTCGATTTTGCGCGCGACAACGCGATTTCCTGTTTCGTTTTGCGGCACGGTGTTGTTCGATCGAGATTAATTCAATTGTATCGTGAACCGCATCCGCTCCCACGACTTTATCAGAAACTGTCGCGTCGGTGTGGCTCGCGTGTGCACCGCCACGATGCCACGCTGCCGGATACCTGCCGACAAAGAGTACACATATAATTGAAATGCGCGGCTAGATCAAGTGGTAAATGAATTGACGAAATCCATTTAGCCGTGTGCCCGTCCAGTCGGAATTGGAATAAGCTCGTAAAATGTTCGCCGTTCCAACAACATCGGTTGTATTATCGAAATGATACCAGGTCGGTTAGCGTTTCCGAAACTTCCCGCTTCACTTTGCCGATTTATCACTATGCGGATAAATTCGTTTTGCAACGAGCTCGATCCGTTACAAACGAGGACGTTCTTGGATTATCGTCGGATCAGTGATGTTTATCTAGATGTATAGTTTTCTCTTCTAGTTGAAAATTGGGTATCTTGTGTCTGTTCAATTCTTCTTTGATAATCTAGTTTTTACGTTCTAAAGTCGAAATTTCACTCGTGGCTATTTCGAAGCGAATTTTCATTCTTTCTGGAAATCTTTTTGAATCGATTGTACAATTAAGTAACCTAGGAATGCTTTTTACATTTTTTTGGAAGTCCAGAGCAATAAAAAATTAGGTGTGGATATAAACGATCTAGCTTTCGTATGGGTAATGTGGCTCGTCTACGAGAGGTTAAGAGAATTTTGATATTTGTATCCGACAAGTCAATTTTAATTCAAATTTAACTTTCCTATTGTTTCAGATTTTTTTTTTATATTTATCTTGGCATGTTTCAATATACTAAACAAATTAGGAAACATCGACCTAGAATGACTTCTGTTAGAATTACATGTGATTAAAATCGTGTTATTTATTTATTTTCTACTTTTCGTATAATGCGATCGCTTAGTTTATTCGTGTGATTATTCGATTTCGGACAGATATCGCGGAAAGTCAGGATTTCGTCGTGAAACGAATGCTGGACATCAGCGATATCGTAAATTTATCCTTCGGTCAGTAAGTTATGTATGTATTGCTTCAGTCTGCAACGATAACTCGTTCGGGGCCAGAAATCGAAAAATAGCGGACACAAGTCACGTTATGTTCGTTTTGTCGATTAACTGGGAGCATGCCAATGTTAACGGTCGATGAGCTGCTTCATTTCGTATTCTTTTCAATAAGGTCACATGAAGAGGAGAATGGACATTGATAAAGGCTGGAAAATCTTCTCCAGACCGAGAAGATCATTTCTGTTGATATACACATTTCTCTGGGAAATTTCAATTTCTAATGTGGCTCTAGGTGAGGGAGAAAACAGAAAATGTAAAATTGAGACAGTGACTATTTTCCGATCTTTTATTTATGTCGAAATTTATTTAAAGATTGTTGGATTTAATAGATTCAATATTTCTGTTGCATTTAATTCTTTTGCATTCTTTTGCAGTAGTTTTTTTTTTAACGTTTATCTTTTACAATTTTAAATTCAGATTTAATTTTAGATCTAGATTAAAATTTAAATTCATGATCGATATTAATGATAGATTTTTTTATGTAGGATACGTTTAATATATTTATTTTGCTGTATATGTAAACGTAATTGCGAATAAACGTGAAATTCATTGTGAAATATTCCTTGAGCATCGGTCGTTTAGGACACGAATATAGTTTTGAGAAAATGTTAGACAATATGCCTGATATAAGTATTACAATAATTATCGCAATCTTTTGCGTGAGAAACACAAGTATATTTAATAATAAATAATAACATAATAGTGGCAGAATTATTATGATCTTTCTAATTACGGTGTTCGTGACAAGTGTTTCAAAATAATTTTTCATTGCGGTAGTTTCGCAACTATAAAAGACAATAACATCTGATAAAATCGCGCATCTACTAGTCGTTACGTTACCAGATGGTATTTTTTTTCTAACGAATGACAAAAGCAACGTGTAATATTATTCGTTTTCAAGTTGAAACAGACTACTTGACACGTCTGTCAGGATGTGTCTTTGGTTGTTAATAGTTTGTGCTTTACAGTGGTACATGGTGGAGGTGAGCATAAAATAATTGAATAATTAATTTTTTCTTGCGAATGACAAGTTCAGTTGTGTACAAGTAATAAATTTGTTTCCACTTCAATGTAAAATAGTGAAATAACATGGGACAGTCTCACTCTTGTTTGAAAGTTTGGAGCACTTTTTGCTTCTTGGAGGAAACGAATATTTTTCGTTTATAAGAAATAAGAATATTGTAACTGTCATTTTTTAATATAATACTATTACAAAATATTTATTATAATAAACAATATTAAATGATAATTCTTATTTCTAAATAATGTAAAATACTTATTTGCTTAAAGAAGTTTGTTCCTAATGTATATTCCAAGCATAATAACAGAAAGATTGGAAAATGTAAGTGAAGAATAAGTTTTATTAATTGTCCTTCTTTTACATTTTTAATCTCTTTCCTCAAAAATAGTTGATTCATAATTATTAAAGTATTTCGTATTGTTAATAGGCAGACTACGATGTAATATTGGAAGATGTTGACTGTTCCCAAGTAAACGAAGAATATATAAAAACATGTGATTTCGAATTGAACTACGATAGCACATACGGAGCCAGTCTGAATTCGTATATGGAAATCATTAAATCATTTCCTGAGGATGTCAAGGTATATATTTAACATACTTTTAATTATGATGTTAATAAGGATTGAACACTTACTTTGACAATTACACTTACTTAACAATTTAGCGATTTGATCGCGAAATTTAACGATTCAATAATTTAGTGATAGAACGATTTAGTTTAACATTTAATATTTAATGCTATATTATGTTTTGGTGCTTATGAATTTATGAAAAATTACACAGAATGTACGTAATACTAAAAAATATCGAAAATATGATATTCGATATCCATTTAAAAAATGGAATTTTTTTGAAAAACAAATTTCTATTCAGATACTCGGTTTTTTAGTGTTGGTGTGGTGAAAATGTGAATTTTCATAAATATTAATCATATTTTTGCATTAAAAGTTCTTTCACATTCCTTTGCAATTGTTTAGTTGTAGATTTTGTAATAGTAACTTACATGAAGTTTTTTAATTACTTATAAATATGAATAGAAATTTATAACCTTGTCTTGATGGTAATATGGAATTACCATAAGGAATTGTATAAAGGCAACATAACTGGATAGTTATGAGGGAAAAGGTATTTGTAATCGTGTGATGCACTAAAACTTGAGGCTAATTCTTCCGAAAACAAATACATTTATCGTTTCATTCATAATTAAAGTACAATGTTATATTTGTAAAATATTAAAGAGTTCGTTCAATCACAATTATATCAACAAATAAGTTATAAAATTACTCGAATCGTTAAATTAATATTTGTAACATTAAAATTTTCATATAGCTAATAGCCGACGTGTTCACGGTTCGAATGGGTGAATATTCGGTTGATCTTGGACTCCATATAGAAACAAATTTTTGTGAAATTATTTCTGATTCGAATTCTATAGCACTTCCTATGATAAAAGCAATCAACTTCGATAGTCTGGATAATTGTCCTCCAGCTCCGGTATGTAAATAATTTAATATTTCAAGCAATATTTTACATTTATTACTCTCGTTATTTTTTCCTTCTAATAAAACGGAAATTATGATATTTATTTTGGCGAACTGTTTTACTACGCGTATATATAAAATTTATATTATATATATAACTATTTAATATATAATAAATATAATATGATAAGTAGTTACATATATAATACAATAATATAATATATAATGTATAATTTAATTTATTATATTTCAGGGAGTTTACCAAGGAGAAGACTACGTAATCGACAGCATGGATGGTTTACCACCATCATTTCCCAATGGTCATTATTTAGTTAATATGTCGTTACTAAACAAAGATACTACGTTAGTGCATTTCGACATTTATGTGAGAATATACTGATCAGTTTTTCAACATCTATATTAATGCAGAATTTCAAATAAAGATTAATCAGCAAGCATGTAATATATTTTGGTGTTTTAAATATTCTTGTTGAAGTATTTACATCCAAGTATTTACCTAGAGTGCTATCTAAATTATACATATAGAACAAAACGTAAGCCTCATAAAATTACTTTAACATAATGGAATTTGTCTTCGAGAAGATGGAAACATTTATTTAATTTTTAAGAGTTATTCATCCAACTTTGTAAAACTATTTCACTTCTGTTTTATTTGTGCTTATTTTTCTTTATACTAAATCAGTATCTCACAATTTTCCTTGAGTTGTGATTCTCTTTCATAATAATTAAATAAGTCACAACTTCTCTTCCGTAATATTTGCATCAAACGGAATTTCTAATGTGCCGATGAAAACGATGTTGGAAACGATTGATGTTGCAGCTTATAATTCCAACCTCATGTTTAATGTAATATTTAGACTCTAGAGATGAATGGCAAAGCTGTTATAATAGTTGAAATATAAAAATATAAAAAAGTTTGCGAAAAACAGAGAAACATGATGTGCAACAGAGATACATAAAACATTTGAAGTACAGAATTTTCTATAATATCTAAGAAATGAAGCAGATTTCAACATCTTATTTCCATGTTTATAGTTGTACCTATAAAAATTTGAACTTGCATAAAAGTCCACTACAACCACAACAGTCATAACATAAATTACAATCAACACATAGTCACTTATTCACTTATTTATATACTACTTTATTAGAGGATACCAAAAATCCAAAAACCAGGACAAAGAGTCATAATCAGCGTTTTACTAATTCAATACACGTTTTCTGAATAAGTTTCAATCACAACATAACACAAGTTATAATCGACATGTAGTTGTTCGTACAGGCCGATGACAATTTTCCAAAAATCGACATAACAAAGGATTACTATCACCAAAAACGTTACTTTGATATCATGTGGCGAGCGCGTGAAGCGCTCTGCTGTAAGATATGACGGACGCGTCATACGTGAACATGTTAACCCTTTCGCTGCCTACGTATACCACGTATATATGTATGTATGTCGAAGAGTTCCCTCTCAGTTGCGTACGCCGTATATGTACGACGTGCCGCGTTCGTACGGTTGTTTCGAAAGTAAATCTACCTGCTGCGTAGCGATGCAGTGCCGAAACGAAGACAGGTCGTTAATACTGTTGCACCTTGCGACCCGAATAGCGAACAGTTTTTGGTTGGAACATGTCATAGTGAACGGATGAAATATGAGTCAACGCGAGACAATGCTCTGCTAGTATCCCGGGACGTGTTATACAGAGTGATATATATGTACGAGGAGCTACCCTTGAAGAACATGTAGAAACAAGGAATCTGTAAAGATGGAACTATCGTTCGAGAGCTCTGCCATTTCAACGGCTGCTGCGGACATAGTAAATACTGTGATCTACGCGGAAGCTACTTCCAAAAGTAGTCACATGATCTAACATGTGTCTGAGGACACGAATTTGGATGAAGGATGCTTATTTGACTTTCCATGAATGATCCATGTTGACGTTAATTACTTCAGCTTTATTCGAGATTCCTGATGTTTTCTCATGGTTGGAAAATATTCAGATTGGATAAAATGTACTGCTGTCTGTACGAACAACGATTTATATGAAACAATTTTCTACGAACGATCCATATACAAGGCATGTGGATCCTTGACAATTTTGATTGGACAAATTGTGCGTTTGTGGTAAACAATTTTCTACGAATCATCCACGTAGATAGTAATTAATCGAGATGTAGAGACTTGAGAAGACAATTTGGATTGGAATGTGTCGGTGTTTGTATTAAACAATTTTCTATGAACAATCTACATACATGCTAATGAATGTAGACATAGAGGGTCAAGATTTGTTCCAGATCCTTGACACTTTCGTTTCATGTAGGAAACAATTTAGATTGGATAGAACGTATAGAAGGTATTGGTGTTTATACTAATAATGGTCGTCCCACGTTCATCTCGTATCTATAGTCATTCTATTGTGAAGGATCGCAGGAACTCGTACGAAGCAAAGCTCCGGACACACTGTGTGGATCCATTGCATAATTCATATGGAAGCTCTTGCATCAATGTATCTGGGTTCTTCGGCGATCTGATCCTGGAACGAGTAGTGAATTTTTAAAATACGAAATTCATAGAAACTCGGTTATCGAGGTTTTTAGACTACGAGGTTTTTAGACTACGTGAGGATGTACCGCTCGAAGACGCAACTTTGTCGCACAATGTGACGCTACAATTCGTATTGCTATAATAATTCAAGAGGAATTACAAATTACGCCGAGAACTTTAGAGTTATTTTAACAAGGGAGAACAGTAATATACTGGACACTAAATTTTTGAACGCAATTAGATTACTTGTACGGTCGTTCTGATCTCTCGTTGCGGAGAAACTTTTGGAAGTGCTCGAGAAGGATTCAACGTTTAAAAGAGTTACAACTATGGAGAAGAAGAACAGAGAATGTTACAAAGAACGTTCCGCCACTTTGTAACTCGTAACGAAGTTCATTTTTCTTTCCCTCGTGTTGTAAAACTGCTTTGCGAAGTATTTTTTGGAAGAAAGTATAGAGAAGATTAAAAGATTAATTATTCTAATAACAAAGAAGTTCATATTTAAAATTTACAGTTCTAATTAATCTCGGCGAACACTATGAAGAAGTTATGACTTTGGACGATTATGAAGAGAATTTATCTTAATAAAACATATAAATAAAATCTCCTCTTTATTCATATTTTATTACACTCCACAGAATTCACACGGAATCATAATGTGTTTTTTAAAAAATACAGATATAATCGCGGTGTTTTTTTACGCGTGATATTTTAGTAATGTGATTTAAGATTACGTGTACGAAAATAACGAGAGCAAAAAATAGAAAAGCAACTAAAATGATTGCATCAGTGTATATTTCCATATTTTTTTGTACATCTGAAGAACTACAGATAACAGTATTTCGACGTGTAACATACTTGATAATTATTATAAATACAAATATTCATTGTAAATACATTATGACTATATTTCTATATTTACAGCTATGCATATGTTTCGCTTGATACCAAAATCAAAATTTTAAAATTTTAAAATTTAAAATTGGAAGTGCTTGTAATATTTACAAATGTACGCGTTAGAATTTTATAACGGTATTTTTCATTTTGAGAAACTGTACAGTGTTCGAAAAAATTTCGAACTGTCAGGTTATCGAAATTTTGTTTCTTCAAGACACGGTTCGTCGAATAGGGCGTGCAAAAACGAACGAAACTAGGGACGGTTGCATGAATTCGCGCAGAAACGCGTGAAAGTTCGTTCAAACGGGCGTGTGTTCATGTTCGAAGTTGTTTCTGAATGTAAAAGGCAGAAAAATTATAGTAGTATTTGACCAAACCGAGCGTATAGTTTCCTTTGATGTAGATTCATCAAAATCGCACCATCTGACGCAAGTTAACGCGTGTATCGTTCACGCTAGCTGCTATTCAATTTTTTTTCTCTTTTTGTAAAACGATGTCCAGTATCCATTTCTATGAATGGAAAATATCATACGATGTTATATAGGTCTCATAAATGTTTTCTTTGAAAGTTATCTATAACAAAAACATAAAGTAATAAGGAATTCGTTTTTCGTTTCACGAGGGCTAGAAATTAATCTAACACCATTTCAAAATGTTGAGATGCAAAAATTGTAATAGCTTACATAAATCCCATATTATGAATATTAAAGACATTTGTTAGACTCACGCAAAACGTGATAATAGACTCGGATTACTAAGAAAACGATTAATAAATGAAAGGCATGCATTTGTTCATGATAAAACAATAAAAATTTATAAAATGTATTTATAAGAATTAGTATGATAGATAACTAACATTGTATGTTGGCCTCAGAAATTTAATTTAATCCTCAATGCAAATATTATATGTATTTGCATTTTGCATCATATGTATTGGATGAATAGGGAAGAAAAGAGAAGTTTTTTCAAAATTTAAATTTGCGATGATTTTTTTCGTTTTTAAGAAGTTTTTAAAAGTTATATAAATGTAAGAGTTTAAATTACTTATGATATTTTGAATCATTGAATTTGTCAATGATTAATAATTTTTGGAAAATAAAAACTATGATCTTAGTCTTAGATTGTAACATTAGATTGTAACAACTAGTAATTTTATTTTTCAAATAGTTTCAAGTATACTTTTGTTAGTGATAAGTATTTGTTTGTCAAAGTTTTTTACAATTAAAGATATTCTGCGGCTTCTAAAATTCTCCATTCATTCTACTGTGATAATTCATTCTAAATTCTCCAAGTCATTAGACTGTGATAATGATATAAAAATTTAGATTCGTTTCAGGGTCGAGTGGTCTGTAGTTAAGGGTGAACTGTGTTGAGGTCCGCGACCAATGATGTAATTGTAATCACCCTGATCATCTTTTTGAACTTCGATTACAAATTTTCATTGATGACGTGCTTGAAAGTTCAAAGTACACGACGATTTACACTTAACAAAGCCAGATAAAGAATTGAAACGAGTAAAAAATATATACTTGCGCACGAAATGTTTATATTACAATTCTAAAGCATTCTATTAAATCTATATAGATATCTGTATTTCGATTGTTCGTAGTTGTTCATCACATGACCAACATTTGCGTCATTGACTATGATACATTTTTAAATATTTATCTTGTCTGTTTAATCTGTTCATAATTTTCTGTAAGCATTCTAATATTCACATTTGGCCATTATTTTCTATTTCATTTGATTTAATTAACATTTTCTAAATAATACACTAAATAATTTTTAATTTTATCGAATATCATAAAATAATTTAGCTACATTGTTTATAACTTAAAATGTATACGTTATTTAAAATTTAAAATAACATTAAAATTCAAATTTAATATGTTATTCAAATAAGTTAATAAAAATAGAAAATTGTTTGAAAATGATTCAATCGTTTTCTAATCTTTATGTTAAATAAAATTTTTTCAATCTTATAGTTAATACTGCTGCATAGTTTTTATTTTCCAAAAATTTTTTAAATTTGGAAAAAGTCTAAAAGAATCATTATTAACATGCATAATTTTTCCTTTTTTTTTTTTAAATTTTACACTAGAAATTTTCTCGAAATATTAAAAATTTTTGGTGTTGAAACGAGAATAAGATTGAGAAGAAAATTTTGAAACTGCAGTAGCTTTGTACAATGGAGAATAAATTTTGACTTTCAAATGAAAATTAACCTAATGGTCGAACGAAAGTGATTAATGAAAAATTAGGCAGTGAAGATATTGGGAGAGGAAAATTCCAGGATTAGCATTATCGGTCTCTATTGCACAAACTTGATTCTTTGTAAAAGAAATATTCAGAACGTAACATCTGATATGCATATCGTACACCGCAAACCATTTAATACAACTTGAGTGGCGTATTTTTCCGTTACTGATTACTTCTATCAATATTTGTAAGGTTTATATGAGACGGATATACATAACAAAATTTTTTACGTTGTTCGATACCATACCGTTATCAATACTTACTGTTATCAATAATTCTAATGCAGATAGAATTAATCAGAATGTAGTGGAATGATACGACAGCCAATTTGTATTATATTTCGTTCTACGTATATTGAATTAATTTATATTTTTGATTTATTGTATTTAATAGGACAATATTACGTTTAAAACAAATTAGTAATTGTTTTTTCATTGCACAAGTTGGTATATATTTCTTCGAAATGATAAATGTCCAACAATTTTATTTTATTTATTAAAAATTTATGAAGAAAGACTTGAGCATAATTGGATATATATAAATCCTCACTTAGAAACTAGGGAAATCGTATTTAAACTAGAAAAATGCTACAAAATCAATTGGATTGTTGATACACGAAAACTAAAGATTTAGTTTTTCCAAATACTCGAAAACGTGATTTTTAGATTTATTTTTCAACTCATCGAGTCGATTAGATGCACGAATTGATTTTTTTTTTTTTTGGTGACAAGTTTTAAACGGGTAGAGTGCTATTGTAGTAACGTAACGCACAAATATAAAACGAACTGCAAAACTTTGTCTTTAATCACTCACGCGATTATTATTCAATTTTACAGACTATTTATCTGTGAGAAAGAGAAGAAAGAAAGAACACGTGATTGATTTAAACTGCATGGATCGAAGTAGTAGATAAAGAAAATCAACCGGACAACGATATCCTTATCAAAAATTGAAAAAAACGCGAAGAAAGAGATACTTTAGCTGAAAAAGGGTAATTTCCTCTCGTAAACAGGAGCAGAAAAGCAATCCTGCTAGTTTTCTTCCATCCATTTCCGTATTCGTTGCAGATTCTTTCCTTTTTCTCTTGGTGAAAGTTTAGTTTGTCTCATCAATTATTTCTCTTGTTATTTTGGTCATGTCTCATTGACGGACAGGAAAGCGGGAAAAACTCTATTTCCGGTAGTAGATAATGAAAGCTCTGGCAGTAGTATGCACAATAGAACAAAAAGCGTGGAGGAAAGAAGGGAAAGAAAACGAAAGTAAATGGCGGTATTTCTGTAATCGTAATAGAAACAGTCCGGAGGGCGACTGTGAGGTAAATGCAAAAATAAAACGAAAAGAAAGAATGATATTTCTTCAGTTTTCATCCTTAAATGGATTTCTAATTTCAATTTAATAGTTGAAGTCACTTTCACACATAACATCCTTCGAGGCTTAATCTAAAATAATGAAATATGTACGTTGTCGAGTCAGCAGGCATGCAAATGTATATTTCTAGTTATAACAATATACGAAATGCGATACGATATGACAAAAATAAATTTATACGTTCCGAAAAATAGTAAAATATATATATTTCTTCTATCAATGTAAAATATATATATATATTTGTTTCTATCAATGACAATATAAAATATTGAAATTTAGGAAGTGTTGAAACTTTGTTGTTTACAAATATAACTCGAAATCTATCGTAAATCGATGGAGTGAAATGGACCGTAGAATGTACAAAACGGAGGCAAACACAAAAGGAGAATTAAAAGCAAACATCTGTTGAAAGAGTTGTAACAAATCAGCGTTAATTATATATGTGAAATGAGTCATTTATTTCAATCAATGTAAAACACAATATATTATTAACGTCAGAACTGTCGATCTTTAACATGTAGGTATTTAAACATGTATATCGCGTATAGTGAATGAAATTAATCCCTTCGTATCTGTAAATGAAATATCTCACATATTGTTTATAATACGCTTTAATCGAAATATCTTGCAATGCAATATCATTCATATAACGCGTTGAGCATGATGTTTCATTCAATACGGATAAAAGATAATTCGCAAGACACCACATTTGTAAATATGAAAGGGATTAGCGATGTTAAGCGAAGAAATTGTTTTGTTTTTAACGATATTGTTTCGCGAAATATTGCATGAACCAAATCTCCCTTCTTACATATTTATAAAGTGTGCAGTATAAAAATTACTTCATTATTGAGAAAAAAGATAAAATCACTCTTATCTTGTTATAAATTTAATAAAAGTTTTTGTTCCAATAATTTTTATTGAAGACAGCTGACTGTCTCCCATGAAATTATACAAATCGACCAATATTATTAAAAAAAATCTGAACTTTTAACTTATTAGTATACTACTCATGCTTCGCAATTAACAAAGTAATTTACATATTGATATTACGTAAATTTCCGAATTCGCAAAAGATTTATGAACGTTTGCGAGTTGCTTGCTCGTCGAACCTTTTATCGGAATTATTACAGGTGATTTTGACATATGCACTACTCGAAGCTAGAGATAATTAGCATAGCACTTGAACCAAAAGCTTCCTTGAGTACCGAGGTTTTCGTCTATATGTCAAAATCAACGCTCTATTCC